GGCCCACTTTGAGGTGTCACATTTTTCACCTCCTGGGATGAGCGAGGGTTGAGCTGGTGAGAGCTGATGTCTGGCCCTGGGTGGGGACACAGGCCCAGCCCCTTGACCAGTGCCTGGTCCTTGGACAAAGCACAGCTAGGGGACGTTACCCACAGGAGCTGACCTAACCTGGCAAGGGAGGGTCCCTCCAATAGAGTTTCTCTGGGCAATCTGGGCCAGCTAACTTTTCCTATAAAGGGCTGGCAGTAAATGCTTTAGGCTTTGTCTGCATGTGCATCTTAGATTTCTTTCTGCAACCCTTTAAAGAAGTGAACACCTTTAGCTTACTGCCTGGAGTTGAATTTGACTGTTGGCCATAGTTTGTCAACTATGGTTGCCAGGGCTACCATAGTGTACCTGGAGGGGGAGGAGCAAAGGGCTTTGGAATCAGGCAGACCTGGGCCAGGAGCGGTGACCTTTGAAACAGTCACCAAGCTGTGTAATTTCGTTCCACCGATCGGAACAGATGCCCGTTGTGAACAGGGCACATGGGGACCTGTTACCCTGCCTCCCTGCCTGGGTCCTCTTGGCTCTGCTGCTCACCACCCATCCTGTGGAGAACCACCACCTCAAGACATCTGTTTTCTCTCTGACTATAAAGTGGGTATGCAAACGGGGCCTCAGAAGCCTGCTGTGAGAAGTAAATGAGATAAGACGGGGAAACACTGACCAGAGCAAGCCAGGAGCTCATACCACAGGCTGCCCATCAGAGTCATCCCGATCCTGAAAAAGTACTCTGGGCAAAACCACCGTGAGGAGCAAGGCAAGGCTGTCTGCTTTTACCACATCTGTTCCGCATGGTATCAGAAGTTCTAGCCAAAACAGTTAAGCAAGAAAAAGAAATAAAAGGCATCCATCAGGGAAATCCAAATCAAAACCAGAGATACCACTTCACACTAATTAGGATGGCTATATATATATTAAAAAAAAGCAGAAAATAGCAAATGTTGATGGGGGTATGGAGACATTGGATCTCTAGGCACTGCTGGTAAAATGTAAAATGGTGGTTCCTCAAAAAATTAAAAATAGAATGGTCAGCAATTGCACTTCTGGGTACATTCCAAGAAAATATATTCCCAAAAGAATTGAAAGCAAAGTCTCAAAGAGATATATGTATGCCCACATTCATAGTAGCTTTATTCACAACAGCCAGAAGATGGAAGCAGGGACTTCTGCGGTGGTCCAGTGACTAAGACTCTGAAATTTCGAGGCAGGGGGCCCAGGTTTGATCCCTGGTCAGGGAACTAGCTCCCACGTGCCACAGCTAGAGATCCTGCATGCTGCCACTAAGAACTGGCACAGTCAAATAAAGAAACACAAATATTTTTTAAAAGATGGACGCAACCCAGTGTCCATCGGTGGATGGATGAATGGACAAACAAAATGTGGTACATCCGTACGCTGGAAAACTGCTGAGTCATAATAAGGAACGGTGTTCTGACGCATACTACGGCATGGCACGCGAAAGAGGCCAGACCCAAAAGGCCGCATACTGTATGTCCCCTTCTATAAGAAATACCCAGAATAGGCAAGTCCGTGGAGACGGGCAGTAGAGTAAGTAGAATACATGGTTGCTGGGGTGGGGGAGGGTGTTGGGGGAGGTGAGAATGGAGACTGACCTTTTAGTGGGGGTAGGGTTTCCATTGGGATGATGGGGAAGTTCTGCAGCCGGATGATGCAGATGGTTGCAGGACACTGTAGATATATCCAATTCCATTGCATTGTACACTTTAAAATGGTTAAAACAGCAAGTTTTATGTTTTGGGTGTTTTACCACCATAAACGGTTATCAGGAGATATCCAGGCTGCTGGGACTGGACTGTGCTCCGTGAGACCCAGGAACTGGGCCTCTGATGTGCAGCCAGGGTTGGGTGGCAGGCACCTAAGGGGGGTCTTCAGGAAGTGTACGTTTGGAGAGGAAGCTCTTGGGAGAGGGGGAATGGGACAGAGAGGGGAGGACTTTCTCTCAAACCCTGTTCTACTGAGCCCCAAGGCCCGTGCAGTGTGGACACTGCAGGAAGGCTGGACCGTTGAGCCGGCGCTCTGCAAAAAAAGTCCAAGGGCTTCCCTGGTGGCTCAGTGGTAAAGAATCCGCCTGCCGGTGCCAGGAGACGCGGTTCAATCCCTGGTCCAGGAAGATCCCACGTGCTGCAGAGCAACCGAGCCCTTGTGCCACCACTGTGGCCTAGAGTCTGGGAACCGCGACTTCTGAGCCCACTTGCTGCAAGAACTGAAGCCCGAACGCCCCAGAGCCGGTGCTCCACGATCAGAGCAGCCACCGCCAGGAGAAGCCCGAGCCCCGCAACTAATGAGCAGACCCCACTCGCCACAGCTAGAGAGAAGCCCACACAGCAACGAAGATCCAGCACAGCCAAAAGTAAATAAATTATTAAAAAAGAAAAAGAAAGAGTCCAGTCGCTGCTTTGCTGGGTTATGGTGACAATTCCTAGACCAGGGTGGGGAAGGCTTTTTGCTCCACGTGGAGGCAAGACTCCAGGACCAAGCTCCAGAGATGTGTCCCAAGTGACCACACCAGTGTGGGTGCTGAGTGAGGCCCCAGGCCGCAGGAGGTGTTGCTGGGTTAGGGGCCTGGCCTGGTGGGTGGGAGGGTGGCCAAGAGTGTGGGCTGGGGTCCCAGTCCTGCCATCGCAAGCCATGTGACCTGGATCTGGCCCCTCCCTCTCCCAACTATTTAACAAAGCCGTGAAGATCTCCCCTTCCTGCAGTGGCGAAGCTGAGAGGGGGCAGCCTGTGGACCTGGCACGGGCGGGCGTCCAGCAGATGCTCCAGTGGTAGCCGCATGGATGCGGCCCAGGCTGGTCTGATGGGGCGAGACAGGCAGGCCTTGAGACAGATGTCCAGCTTCAGCGCCCTGTCTCCTGCCCATCTCTGGGGGGCACACCAGCCAGAACATTGGGGCACACCAGCCAAAATGTGAACCTTGCACAGAAGAGGATGAGCATTATTGCTGAGCTCGGAGGAGGAGGCCTGAGGTCCAGCATCCGCGGGTGGCCAAGGACACTCAGAACAGCCTCCGAGGAACAGTGGAAGGGACAGGAGATAGCTGGTTTCTAAAATGTTGTTTAGTTATCAGTAATAGCCAGACAATTCACACATGTTCAAGAAGGGAAGGAATGAATGAGTGAGCAGATGGAGGAAAGAATGAGTGAATGGTTCTCTGCCCTGCAGGGTGGATGTTCACCTGTTTTATTTTTTTTATTTTATATTGGAGTATAGTTGATTTACAATGGTTTGTCATAGCAAAGTGATTTAGCTATACATACTTGTATACCTGTTCTTTTTCAGATTCTCTTCTCATATAGGTCATTACAGAGTATTGACTAGAGTTCCCTATGCTATACAGTACGTCCTTTTTGATTATCTGTTTTATATATAGGAGGAGAGCGTGGCAACTCACTCCAGTATTCTTGCCTGGAGAATCCCTCGGACAGAGGAGCTTGGAGGGCTACAGTCCATGGGGTCGCAAAGAGTCAGACAAGACTGAAGTGACTTAGCACACAAGCAGCGTGTTACATATTAATTCCAGCCTCTAAACTTTTCCCTCCCCTGACCATTGCCCTTTGATAATCATACGTTTTCTATGTCTGTGAGTCTGTTTCTGTTTTGTAAATAGGTTCATTTGTATCATTTTTTGAGATTCCACATATTAGTGACATCAAATGATATTTGTCTTTGTCTGACGGACTTCACTTAGTAGGATCATCTCTAGGGCCATCCATGATGCTGCAAGTGGCATCACTCCCTTCTTGTTTATGGCAGAGTAATATTCCATTGTGTATATGTACCAGGTCTTCTTTATCCATTCCTCTGTTAATGGACATTTAGGTTGCTTCTATTTCTAGGCTATTCATTCACCGTACTTAACACAGGACTTGGGCTGCCTGCTCCTAAAAGTGGTAGAAACGTATTTTAAGGTTGAAAGAACAGGAAGGGGCCAGTGTCCAACCTCATCTCTGTGACGGCAGTTCTGTGGCCCCAGGTGAGTCACTTCTCTTGTTGGCCCCGTGTTCTCATCTGGAAATGGGGCCTCTGTGCCTCACTCACTGTTGGGCTCCCCGGGTTCCCAGATGGACCTGGCACATCAGAAGTTTCTGGAAAGGGTAGCTTCTGCTGGTGGTCGCTGTGGTTGTCACCTTATTTAACCCTCAAGACCACCCTGGGAGGCAAGAGTTGGGTCTCTTCCATTTTGCAGATGTAGAAACTGAGGCAGGTGAGAGGTGGGCTGGCCCCAGGTGGGAGGTCTCAGCCCCGCCCGTCCCTCTGACCATCCTTCTGAGCACTGGGGTCGGGTGACCACACGCCTGTCCCCACTGCCTTAGAGCCGGAGGACCAAGGACAAGACCTCGAGGCTGGAATGACAGTGGGCCCAGGGCTCCAGCAGCTTCACTCGAGCTCCCCAGGAGGCTCAGACTCCACAGCTCTCCTCCCCGACTTCTTACATCCCTCTCCCACAGCCCCCCGATCGCTCGTGTCCCCCATTCTCCGGGTGTCCGCCTGTAACCCTGTCTGTGTCCGTGCACATGTCCGGCGTGTGGTGGGGCTGGTGGGTGTCTCACTGTCCATCTCTCTGTGTGTCTCTCTGTTGTTCGTGTATTTATCTGTGTCTGTCTCTCTCCATCCCCCTCTCTCTGTGGATTTCTGCCTGTGTCTCCCTCTGTCGTACCTCTCCGTACAGAAGTCTGCTCTCGTTCCTGTTAAGCCGTGTCTCTCTGGGCCTTTCCGTGTCTCTCCATGTCTCTCCATGCCTCTAGATCTCTCCGTGTCTCTCCGGGTCTCTCCATGTCTCTCCGTGTCTCTCCAGGTTTCTCCATGTCTCTCTCTGGGTCTCTCTGTGTCTCTCGGGGTCTCTCCATGTCTCTCCGGGTCTCTCCGTGTCTCTCCAGGTCTCTCCAGGTCTCTCCAAGTCAGTCTCTCCCCCTCCCTCTGTCCCTCTCCTTCAGTGGAATATCGATCAACCTGGTTTATTATGCCTTGCTTCTTCTCAGAACATTTGCCTTTGAAATTGCAGCAGGTGGGCTGGGGCCTCAGGTGGCCCCTGGGGCTGCACAAGCCCCCCCAGCCCCTGGGGACCCAGCCAGAGGGTGCGGGGCCCACCACGCCCACCCCCGATTTGTGCAGACCCCAGACCGACCCTCCCGAAGTCTGTGTCAGCACCTACGGCTCCCAGGCCGTGGGGACCAGGTGAACAGACACTCTACTATTTGGAGGGAGAGCTGGGCCGGGGTTCCTGCACCCCATCTACCTGCTCTGGCCCAGTAGTGGCCCCGTCTTTCCATGTCAGCTTTCCTCTGCCAGGGCAAGTCAGACGTCCATGTCTAACTTCCAGAGGGCACGAGCCGATGCCTGCTGTAGGGCAGGAATGACTGCCGAGACCTCATCCCCTGGCCTGCTCCCTGTCCCTGCCCCTCTGTTGCCTTAACCCCCGTGTGGGCAGCTTGATCCAAACCTCGGTCACCCCGCCATACCCACGGGCCGACTGTCACATCATTTTCAAATCCTTTTCTTAAACTCCTGTTTGCTTTGCCAGGAAAGGAGATGGGCCCTAATCCAGGAGTGTCTAACTGTCCCCCTGCACACGGGAGATGCTCCAGGCATTCAGGGCCACGTTGGTACATATCCAGGGCTCCCCCACAGTACCTGCGCCGAAAGTCCTGATGCATGAAAGATACATGAGGCCCTGAGATACGCTTTCCGTGGTGAGACTTGTATCCAGCAGGATGCAGCGCGTGGAGTGGTGGAAGTGTGTGACGTGTGCGCCTGTCACTCGGGCATCTGCAGAGTGCCCCGTGGCTTCCTCGCAGACAGCAGGAAACAGAGGGGAACCGACGTCTGAGTGAGGACATGCCAGCCCCAGGAGGGGCCATGAGGGGGCCGTGGGTGAGAACCCAGGGCTTGGCACCTGGCTGTGCTGGGTTTGAATGCTGGCTCCACCACCTGCCAGGTGTGTGACTTACAGCAAGTAAGGCAGGGACCCTGGTGTCTGGCCGGGTGCGTGCGGGCTGTGACTCAGTGGTGTTCGACTCCTTGCAACCCCATGGACTGTAGCCCACCAGGCTCCTCTGTCCGTGGGATTCTCCAGGCAAGAATCCTGAGTGGGTTGCCATGCCCTCCTCCGGGGGATCCTAACCCAGGGATCGAACCCACGTCTCTTAGGTCTTCGGCATTGGCAGGAGGGTTCTTTACTCCTAGCACAACCTGGGAAGCCTGTTAGATCCCCAGAGCCCCCTAACGGCACTAGTGCCCATCTGCCAGCTCCTCCAGCTTTGCTGAGAACAGTTTACAATCACTGGCTTCAGTTTACACAGAAGGCCAGCTGCTCCTCGAGCGAGACAAACACCGAGGGTACAATCTATGTTCCCGAGCTGAGCCCGGGTCCTCACCTGAAATCACACCCTCGTTGGCCTTCTCGCCTTTCTGGTCCTGCTTCCCCTATTCCTTCTGGCTTCTCCTGGGAGCACTTCCTTCATAAAATCACTTGCCCTGAAATCCTCCACTCAGGTCTGCTCCTGGAAGAATCCACCTAACATGGCAGGTGACTTTGCCTCTCTGAGCCTCACTTGCCTCATCTGTAAAATGGACGTAACACCCCTCACCGTTAGCACGAGCAGCCTTAGCGTAGGGCCTGGCACACAGTAAGGGCTCACGAAATGACATCTCTTCTGATTACTGGGGAACACACCCCAGCCCTGTGAGGAAGGGTGCTCAGGAATGAGGCATTGCCCCTCGGGCAGTCATGTTGTCCCGGCTCATCTGCCCAGTGACTGGGGAGAAGCAGCTTTAGAAGTGTCTGTTGGGACTTCCTGGTAGTCCAGTGGTTAACTTTGTACTTCCGCTGCAGGCGGCAAGGGTTCAATCCCCGGCTGGGGAACTAAGATTCCGCATGTCATGCGGCGTGGCCAAAAAATAGAGAAAGACAATATCTGTAGCCGCCTCTGAGTCCTGTCCCACCCACCTCTTCCCCTCAGAGTTCTCGTGCTCGGCTCTGTGGTTAGAACAGCTCTGCCCGACTCTCAGGCCGTGGGCTGGTGCCCTGGGGGTGGTGAGTTAGGGGAGCGGGTTTGGCCTCTGACGTGGCCGTCTCCTGGAGGTGTGGCCGAGGCCATGCAGGGCTCTGGGTTAGAGAGTGACGACATTTTACCGTGAAGCCATCCTCAATCCAAGAGGCCTCGAGGCTCTCTGAGCAGAGGGCAGAGCCGACGGGCTGTCAGAAAAAAGAGCCGTGGGTGGGGGCCGCCTGGACCCCCCTCACCCCCACCCCAGGCCCCCCACCTAACTGGCTGGGAAGCCCGGGGCAAGTCACGCTGCCCTCCAGGCTTGTGGCCACGTCTCTAATGAGGGACAGCGTGCGTGAGTAAGGGGTCAAGGCGGAGACGTGCCCTCGCTCCGAGCAGGCCAGGGCGAGCCTCTCTTCCCAGTCCAAGAGAGATGCCTTCCTGCCCTGCAGGCTGGTTCAAAGAAAAAGGAAAGGAGGAGGGAAGCTGGTCTCGTCCCCGTGCCCTCCGGTTCTTGGGGGGACGTCCCAGCCAGGCCGGCCAGCCCACCACATCCACAGTGAGGGCGGTGCTCGCCTATTGGAGGGGGCGTCCACCAAGGGCAGCATCTCACTCAACCCCCCACCCCAGGGGCAGGGGCACTACTACACACAGCCCACCCACCCCATTCTGATGAGGACAAGGCCACCCACCTGTGAAAAGAGGGAAGCCAAGGCCAACCAGGGTGAGCTCTAACCGCTGGACAGCCGTGCCCAAGTCTGTGGAGTCACTCACCCACACGGGTCCCTCCAAGGCTCGGTCCCCGCCCCCGGGGCGGGGGGGCATATGGGGCCCGAGGACTTCCCCCACGCCCGGGCCTGGCTTCCCCACCCCCCAGGACCTATCTCAAACCTGCACTTGGGGTTTCCCAGCTTCCCCAGAGCTGCCTTTATTCCTATTAAGTCAGCAGCCCCCGTGGAAGGAGGGCGTCAGATTCCTTCTGGCTTCCCCCCTTGCCCTGCCCCTCCCGCTCCCACCTTTCATCACAGGGAAAAAAAAAAAAAATCCCAGGAAGATGACTAACATCAACTCAGCCTGAGTTACCAAGACAACCTACCCTGCCCACCGCTGGCTGGCAGGAAGGGAGAGAGGCTGGAGGGGAGACCCCCACCCACGCCGGCTCTCCCCCACGGCCCCCACGCTCCAGCAGGGCACCCCTGCCATGGGGCTTTCAGCTCCACTTGAAGGCCACGGCTTTCATCTGCGAGAGGCGGTCGTCGCGGTACATTTCATTCTCTCAGTTTCCTGGTGCCGAGATAATTGAGGAGGGAGAGATGAGCTGATAGAACGAAATCCTCTCCACTGTGGGAGGAGCTGGGTCACACTGCTTCCTCCTGCTAACAGCTGCCTCGCCCATCCCAGGCCAGGGTGTGCGGGCAGGATGGCACAGGGGCCAAGACGGGGGCCTTAGGGGCCAGACCTGCCCGAGTGCCAACCCCAGCTCCACCGTCTCTAAGCTGCGTGACGCTGGGCAACTTACTTAATCTCTCTGAGCCCCAGGACCGACCCAGACACTAGTTATAGCCTTCAGGGGTTCACTGGGACAGCAGACAAGAGATGGTGTGGACAGCCCCTCCCGGGCACGTGGTATCCAGGAAGTGGGCAGTCAGTGACAGGGGCTGGTGTGGATGCCATCCCCAGCCCCCCCCCACCCCAGCCTCCAGAAGAGAAGGGATCGGCTGGTCATGTGGAGCCGGCTGGATACCAGGCCGTGCTCGGGGCCACAGGAGGAAGCGTCAGGCCCTGTGTGCGGTTGGTTTGTGTAACAGGTGGATGCAGAGAGAGCGAGATGCAGCCCTACGCATTCTCTCTGCAGGGAGGGCGAGGCGGTGGAGTCCTGCCAAGCTGGTGTGACTCGAAGCCCAAGGTCCTCCCCGGAGCCCGCCTTCTGCAAGCAGCACCCCCGCTTTGTGGCTTCAGCAGCAGTGGACACGGGGCCTGCAGTTGACAACGGTGGGGACACTGGAGCCTCCTCTGGCCCTCGGACAGGTCTGGTCTCCTCATGACCACCCCCTCCTCCTCCGACTCTGGTTGGGCCTCTTCCAGGGCGGTGGCCAGGCTTTCTACCAGCCCCGCTCTGTCCTTGTGGTGACCTCAGAGCCGCAATAAAAGCCCTGAGAGACGCACAGAATGCAATCACCTGTCATTACGAGTCCTCCACGTCGCCTCTAACGGAGAGGAGGGAGGAGGAGAGTCCCAGACAGGAAGAATCAGTAAACTGATTAGCTGAATCCAATCCGCTGGGGAGGGGGCGGACGTGGTGGGGGGCTTTGGGCGGGCTGAGCAGAGGAGAAAGAGGGGCCCAGCTGCATGAGCCCGCCAACCAGGGGAGCCCAGGGAGCCCCATGCCTTCCATGCTGGGTTAGCATCTTTCAGCCCCAAGAAGATTTCAAATGGCGAATAGGCACACCAGGACCTCCCCGGTGGTCCCGTGGTTAAGAAACTGCCTTGCAACGCAGGGGACGGGGTTTTGACCCCTGGTTGGGGAGCAAAGATCTCACATGCCGCAGAGCAACTAAGCCCGCGGGTCACAACTACCAAGCCCTCTCGCCACGACTAGAGAGTCCTTGCATTGTCACAGATGATCCCGTGTTCCACAACTAAGACTTGATGCAGCCAAATAAATAATATTAAAAGAATAAAGAATAGGCATCTTTAAGCGAATCAAAACAGCAATATTAATATCTTTGTCTGAAGTGTGTGCAGGTTGAGTGGCTTAGGCATTTGTAAGTTTCAGGAGCGTTTTGCTGTTTAAAGCACTAGTTCAGCCTTGTGATTCGAATTTAAAATATGAGATTGAGCACTTGATTTAGACTTGGGATTTCAGGTTGTACTCTTGGGAAGTTTGTAAACAGTGTTGGAGTTTATAGATTCTGTATATTAGACATACAAAGGATGCACTTAATTCTGCAGTGAGGCTGGCTTCTCAGTCAGATCACTGAGGTACCTAAAGGAAAGCAGGATGTATTCAATCTGTTTATGCCATTTCAAATGCTTTAAGGAGTTTGATTAACTAGTTTTGTAAATGGGAACAAACGGTAATCAGTGGCCCTTGAAAGAGATTATTTAGATGTGCTGCATTTATAAATATAGAAATAGAAATAAAATAGTCAGATGTAAACTGAACTTAAGAAAGCACAGCAATTTTGTTTTTATTTTTATTTTTTGGCCATGCCATGTGGACTGCAGGATTATAGTTTTCTGACCAGGGCTTGAACCCGGGGTCACTTACCTGGTGGTCCAGTGGCTAAGACTCACTCTCCCAATGCAGAGGGCCTGAGTTCGATCCCTGGTCTGGGAACTAGATCCCACATGTTGCAACTAACAGTTTGAGTGCCGCAACTGAAGATCCCCTGTGCCGCAAGTAAGGCCAGGTGCAGCCGAATAAATAAATACATAAATATACATATTTTAAACGACTCGAACCTGTGCCCTCAGCAGGGAAAGCTCAGAGTCCTAACCACTGGACTGCCAGGGAATTCCCAGAACAGCGTTTTCTTAATACGGGACGTGCACGAGTCGGATCTGCATGTTTAAATCAAAGCCGTTGTCTGAGTCGCCTTTTCTGGGCACAAAAGCCACCCAGGGGGCAAGCCAACCCCAAGGCTACATCCGTGCCTCCGTTCTTAACTTCACCCTCCCGTGCACCGCCCCCGCCATGTCCCTTCCCAAAGGTGGGCTCTGGAGGTGACAGGCCTGCTTGTACTCGTGGGTTTACTGTTAACAGGATAGCGTCTGGCTTCAGCGGGAAACACCGGGACCTTTGAACCTGGCCTTGGTCTCTAATGGTGGGGCTGCCCGAAGCCTTTAGCTGACCCTCCCCGAGGGAAGAAGCTCCAATATGAACCGGGAAGTGTTCAAGTGTTCAAGGCACCAGACAGCAAGAGCTAACACAGCTCTGGTGTTATTATTACCAGGGACAGAAACTCACGCGACCACCATAATGACCCGTTTCACAGAGGAGGAGCCTGAGACGCAAGCTGTGGGTGGCTTTTCATCAGAACTTTGCTCTTCATCAGGTTCTTCTCTGCCAGCATCTCCCCCAACCTCCCACCTCCGTGAAGCTGACATTGTGGTCCCATTGTGCAGGTCAGTCAACCGAGGCTCAGAGTCTAGAGACTGGCTCAAGGCTGCGTGGCCTGCATAGGAAGGAGAATCTGCAGTTTGTGGCCCTTCCAACATCTGTGCAGCCCAAATCCAGCAGGGCAGATGGATTTCTACCCGCAGTCCCTGGATGGTTCTGATATAATTACAGGCATGGCCAGTGTTTTGCAGGCAGGGCACAGGGGCTCAGAGTGCATGCAGCAGGGAGGCCGGGACTGGTCTGAGGACTGGAGTGGGTGTCGGGGAGGGAGACAGTGGGGAAGGGGCAGGCCGGTTCCAGGTGGGCAGCCCCTCGGGGCTGTTCCTGGCTTTGGGCTTATTTCTGAGACCAACTGGAGGTGACTGGGGGGTTCTGAGCACAGTTAGACTCATGTTTGAGGGCCGTCTATCAAGGGAGGGCAGCAGGACCAGCCAGGGCGACCAGAGACGGGCTGTCTTTGGTGCCCAGGTGATGGCTGGAAACTGAGCCAGCCAGGTGCGTGGAGATGGGTTGAGAAGGCAGCCTGGATGGGTTTGGCAGGGATGGGTTGGCGGAGAGACTGGATGTCAAGGAGGACCTCCAGGGCCTGACAGGGCCTGAGCACCTGTGTGGACCACCCTCCTCCACATGCAGACCCTGGCCCACCGCACCAGGGCCCCAAGCCGAGGGCCTTCCGCTGGCCTGGAGGGTGGCCAGCGGGACCCAGAAGCATGGCCGCAGGGCCGGCTGCAGCAGACCGGCTGGCCTGAGGCGCCCTCACGGCGACCTGAACTGCTTAACACCCCCAGAGGAGTCCGGGTAATTCAGTCTCTCTGTTTACTCCCACGGTGAGTGCCTCTGAATCTTTCAACTTGACTGCTGACTGTATCAAAATTCCCGTGGTAATTGGATCAGGTGCAGTATTTTCCATGAGGATATTAAATCAGGCCTTCTGCCCGCGTCCAGAGCGATCCGTTTCGGAATATAAAGACGCAGGAGATGGCATTACCCGAGGAATTTTTCCTCCTTTAAACTTTCTCCCCCACTCTTAATCATGGCAGCTCTTTATTTGTTGCCAAATAAATTGGGTCGTCCTCCCCTCTCCCAGTTATCAGCCAAAGGAAGGGAAAGATGCCTGGGGGTCGAAGAGGGAGGCTGGCAAGAGTGTGGGGTGGCAGAGCCCAGGTTTATCCAGGACTGTTCCACCTCTAGGGGACCTGGGGGCCCAGGTGGAGTGGTCAATGGTGTGTGTGTGTTGCAGGGGGTAGCGGGGAGGTGTCGATAACCAAACACTTCACTGCCCCCCGTCTCAACATCAGGCCCCTGGGAGGGTCACATGGTGGGAGGGGGTGCCACACACTTGGATGGGAGACCTTGGTCAGCCAACCTTCAACGGGGGACTTTTTTTCCCCCAATATTTATTAATCTTTATTTATTTGGCTGCATCAGGTCTTAGTTATGGCACGGGATCTTTACAGCAGCACGTAAGATCTAGTTACCTGACCGGGGATCGAACCTGGGCCCCCTGCGTTGGGAGCACAGAGTCCTAGCCCCTGGACCACCAGCAAAGTCCCAAGGCGGGACCTTTCGATCATCTGTAAACTCCGTGGGAGAAAGCTCCAGGTCACAGCAAAACTCAGAGCTGGGAGCTGGAAGCTCAGAGGCATTTCGTTGTTTTAGAAATAAAAAAGATGGGGGTGGGGAACTATTAAGGTCACATCAGGGGTTGAGGAGGTCACATCAAAATGTCTGTTGTTCCCTGGAGAAGGAATTGGCAACCCACTCCAGTCTTCTTGCCTGGAAAATCCCATGGACAGAGGACCCTGGCAGGCTACATACAGTCCGTGGGGTCGCAAAGAGCTGGACATAACTGAGCACACATGCACAGTCAAAAAGAATTTCTTTTAAAGAATGGCTGTTGTTTGGAACAAGAGAAAGATGGTGGTCGCATGACCATGTACCTGCAGTATCTGTCACCAGATCGCATGCTTTAAAAAGGTTACTTCTGGGACTTCCCTGGTGGTCCAGTGGCTAAGACTCCACTCTCCCAATGCAGGGGGCCCAGGTTCCATCCCTGGTCAGGGAACTAGATCCCACATGCTAAGAGTTCAGATGCTGCAACATTAAGATGCTGCATGCCACAACTAAGATCCAATTCAGTCAAATAATACCATTTTTTTTCAATGGTTACCTTTATGTTACATGAGTTTCATGTTCATTCAAAACAGTGGCTCTACCAAATGCCGTGTTACCTGCCACTGACTCATTTCAGTTGTTCAACCAGGATTGACTGAGCCTCTGTTCTGCGCCAGACACTGGCCTAGGCTCTGGGGATGTAACAAGGGAAAAACTACAGGTGCTGCCCTTGGAGAGCTGGCATCTGGTAGGGTGCAGGGGGGACAGAGGACAACAGTGGCAGAAGGCCTGGGCAGAGTGGAGCCCATCAGGACCTCAGCTTTTACTGTCAGCAAGCTGGGAGCTATGGGAGAGTTTTGAACAAAGCAGGGTCTTAACCTGACAACAGGATCCCTCTGGCTACTAAATACAGGATGGACTAGAGGGGTCAGGGACCAGCCCAGGGACCTCAGATGGGAGGCCAATGCAGTCATCTAGGTAAGAGTCAGTGATGGAAATACAAACTAAAACCACAATGAGATCCAGTACATAGCCACCAGTATGGCTAAAATTAAAGACAGATATCACCAAGTGTTGGCACATACCTGGAGCAACTGTAGCTCTTACACATCACTGTGGGCATGTAAAATGTCACCGCCACTTTGAAGACATGCTTGTTATTTTCTGGTAAAATTAAACATACCTCTACCTACCCTACAACCCAGCAACTCCACTCGTAGCCACATACCCAGGAGAGATGAGGGCTTATATTCACAAAAAGACACATACCAGTAGCTTTTTTCGCAATTGCCTCAAATTAGAAATAGCTTAAATGTCCATCCACAGGAGAATGAATGAAACAATTGTGTATCCACAACAATGAAATACTACACAGCAATGAAAAAGGAGAGGCCCCTGATACACTCAGTGACATGGATGCATCTCCTCTACATTAATGTCAAGCAAATTAGAAAAGAGATGCAAAAGAGTACGTATTAATATTATACAATGGCATTTTTCTGAAGATTTAGAACCTGTGAAGTGACTTATAGTGACAGAAGTGCAGCTCCCTTTGGAAAGGTGACGATGACAAGGAGGGAGCGTGAGGGAACACTCCCTAGTGATCAGGGTTCTTCGTCTTGATCCTGGTGGTGTTTTTACAGGTACAACTCGTGTGCTTAATCATTCAGTCCTATCTGACTCTTCTCAACCCTTTGGAAGGCAGCCTGCCAGGGTCCTCTGTCCATGGGATTTTTCAGGCAAGATACTGGAGTGGGTTGCCATTTCCTTCTCCAGGAGATCTTTGTGACCCAGGGATCAAACCTGAATCTCCTGTGTCTTCTGCATTGCAGGTGAATTTCTTACCCACTAAGCCATTGAGGAAACCCCTTTACAGGTGCATATCTACGGAGAAGGAAATGGCAACCCACGCCAGTATCCTTGCCTGGAGAATCCCATGGACAGAGGAGCCTGGTGGGCTACAGTCCATGGGGTCACAAAGAGTTGGACACAACTGAGTGACTAACACACACTCATGGAAAAATACATCAAGATAGCGAACAGCGGACTCATTGGAAAAGTCCCTGATGCTGGGAAAGATTAAGGGCAGAAGGAGAAGAGGGCGTCAGAGCATAAATGGCTGGATGGCATCACTGATGCAATGGACATGAACGTGGGCAAACCTCGGGAGATGGTAGGGGACAGGGAGGCCTGGCGTGCTGCAGTCCATGGGGTCGCAAAGTCAGACACAACTGAGAGACTGAACAACAACGTGTACTTGTTGGTACATTTCACTGAATGTGAAATATACCTTGCGGGGGGTGGGGGGGTGGGTGCGGAAACTGTCATAGGATGAAAGAGAAAGAATCCAGGCTCCAACCAGGTATCAGGGTGATAGGTGTGCAGGCGGAGGCAATGGACCTGTAGAAACTTACTCCCCCTGTCTGCAAGCTCACTGCATCTGGGCCTGAGCACCTCGTGATGCCAGCCGCCACCTGCCCTGTCCCATGGACCCCGCCCCTTACTCTGGGTGGAGGCACCCCAGGTGGGCAGATGCCCATCTCGATGGGGGCAGGTGGCCTGAGGAAGCACATATTTATCTGGGGGACTCAGCCCGTTTGTCTGATGGGGGAGGGGCTGGTGGTGAGCACCGAGGGACCAGATTCCTGATTATAACTTCATCACGGGCGCTGGCTATTCGGGAGGCGCTGATATTTATGGAATAAATACGACGCGATTTATGGCTGTATCTCCCTCTGATGTCCCATCTGATATGCAATTCAATTTCTTTTATTGTCTTTGGGCTCTTGCCATGGAGGAGAATGCATAAATAAATAAATATATGGGCAAATGGCAGCCGGCAGGCCGGGCCGGGGCTGCCAGCCCGCCGTCTCCAGTCCCATATTAGGCCCATCGATCATGGGTTATGAAGCCCAAGCTTGTCCCCCGGCTGGGACGGGGAGCAGACGTGCCGGTCACTCCTGGTTATTTAGGGGTCCCTGCTGGCAGGCTGCCCTGCCCGCCCTCTGCCTGCCACCGGGCCCAGGCAGCCCTGCTCAGGACCGAAGGCAGTGCTAGAAGCTTGCAGAGGCCACCATCCCACCCCCAGGCCCAGGTGTCCCAGCTCTGCCGTGGTGGAGAACACCCAAGACTGCAGACTTGTGCCCCCTGCCCGCTCGCCCGTGGGGGCCCCATGCCAAGTGGCCAGGCCACACTTCTGCTGTGGAGTCAAACCACATCTTGAAAACCAAGCGGGGGGCAGCTCTGCCCCTTGGGGGCCGGGGTAAGTCCCCCTGCCCCATCCTCGCCTCCCCACCTGAGGAAGGGGCGGCAGCCTTCACCCCCCGGGGCAGCTTCCAAGACACGGGAAGGCTGGCACACGCTCTGCGCAGCTGGCTGGGTGTTCACCTAGGCGCTGTCCGAGTACCAGCAGCTCGAGGGGCCTCGGGAGCGGGCAGACCTCAGCCCTGCCCTCAGCCAGCCCTGCTCTGGGGCTGACAGAGGGCTCCGTGGCCGGGCCCCTGTCACTGGCCCTTTGCTGAGGACTCAGTTTGGAAAGGCCTGGGGCGGGGCGGGCTTCAAGGCTGCACTCTGTAGCTGTCTGTGGACCCCGTCTCATGCAGACTCCCGCACCCCGCGATCTCAGGAGCCTGCAGCAAGCACCCCCTCCCTGGGGCCCTCGGGGACTGTCCTCCAGAAGCCAGAGGCTGGGTGCCCCCTCCCTCTGCGTCTCCCCAGCCTGGAGCCCCGCACGCCCCCCAGCCCGGCCAGGCCACGGGGTCTCTGACCACCCCGCCCGAACCCTCAGGCTCCGGGGCCACACCCCTCCCTCCCTCCCCCCCACTCCCCATCCGTTCCAGCCTCTCTCCTTCCTCCAGCTCCCACGGGGCCTGCTGGCTGGACCCCCGTCTCACAGCTCCACAGCCTTCAGCTGGGGTGTGCTCACTCCCAGCTCAGGTCCTGCCACGCAGGAACACATGCCACAGTTACACACACAGGTGCCCATAGCCCACACCCATATGCAAAACACACCCACCCACGCATGCGTGTGCACACATGCACGTACACATGCACACACACTGCACACGCATGCCCACACCCCATACTGATCACATGCACACACACACCACACACACACCCCATGCACGCATGCGTGCGCACACGCACCACACATGTGCACACAGCCCACGTGATCGCATGCATAC